CTCTGGGGGGAAGCTAAAGCCTCTGCATTTGTGGGTGATTCCTGCTTGTTTGCTTTTTTTTTTTTTTTTCTCCTGGTGTTGGGGATTGAACCCAAGGCCTTGCAATGCTGGGCAGGTACTGTACCACTGAGCTGTATCCTCGGCCCTGCAGGTGGCTTTCATTGAATGCCTCCTGAAAGATGGGTTAGAATTAGTCTGGAGAACAGCAGCTCGCCCTGGGTACTCTGCCATCAAACACAGCTCCTCAAATGCTCGGACCTGTTTCAAGAAGGCTGGCAGAAGATGCAGTTCATTTGCCTCCTACTCATCAGCCTTTCTCCCTAGCCTCCTTTCTGACTGAACTGAAATCTTCGGGAAGTGCCTATAAATACTCCATCTGCTCAGATTTTTTGCCAGACAGTGGAGTCGGCACCACCTTCCCACTACTGCAGACCGAAATAGCCCTGCTGAGCTTGCCTGCCTAACTCTAAACAGCCCTGTTCCTGACATCCAGCTGCCTCATGACCATTTACTTGGCTTTCATCAAGGGTGATTCCACTGCCCTTAGTTCTTCCTTATGCAATTGGGATGGAAATAAACCCTTATGCTGGAAAGAACCTCAGACATGATCCAAGCCACTCTCTCAATATATGCAAATAGATGCAAATACTCTATATAGAAAAGAAGACAGAATGCAAATATTTTATTGAGTTCCCTAGTACATGCCAGCAAGGTGCAGAGCTAGGTCTTTCAACAAGCTTCCCAGGTAGATAATATTATATCCATTTGTACAGATAAGGAAATAAAACTCAGAAAATTAAAGAAATCTGCAAGGTAACTGCAGGTAACAGGTAACAGGCAGATTGAATCTAAGTTCTAATAAAAAAGAATATTATCAGTTGTTAACCATACACTGTGTGTTAGACATAGCCCCAAGCATTTTATTTTTATTAGTTTATGTAAGATAGCCATGAAACCCTGAATTAAGTATTACTACTTTCATTTTACAGGGGAAATTCAGGTACGAAAAATTAGAAACTTTCTTGGGGCCAGCCAGTACTCACTAGTAGGTGGTACCCTGGTGTCTCCTATCCCAGTAGGAGATACCCAGGTCTGACGTAAGAATTGGGAAGAATGGAGAGATTCACAGAGCACTTCTGATTAAAAAAAAATGCTATAAGGAAGATACATGGGGTTCTGTAGAAGATGATGGTATGCGATCCAGGTGACAGAGGATGTTCAGATTTATTCAAGGTGATGGGAAGAAATTAGCTTTGAGCAAGGGAGTGACATCATATGTTATCCATTCTTTGTAGCTTGCTCTGCATGGCACTGCCTTCAGGGCAAGATTAGGGGCACAAGAGTAGCAGCAGAGGGGCTGGTTAGGACAGCCAGAAGTAAAAGGTAATGGTGGCTTAAAGAAAGGTGCAGTGGAAAAGGTCAAGAAAGGTCAATTTCTGTTGCTAGAACAGATTACCAGAGACTGGATGATTTATAAAGACAGATTTATTTGGGTTTACGGTTCTTGACAATGGGAAGACAAAGAGTATGTACTGGTGTCTACTTGGCTTCTAGTGGGTGCCCTGCACTGCATTATAATATGACAGAATTGTAAGACAAGAGAGCACATAAAGAGACAAATCACGAGTGGTGGCTTCACCTGATAACAATCATCTCTCACAGAAACTAATCTAACATTATAAGAGGGGAAACTCAATTTTTCAAGAATTATTAACTCAGTGCCATTAGAAAAGCATTAATCCCTTTATGAGGGCAGAACTCTCAGGACCCAGATACCTCTTAGAGTTCCTACTATCTCTTAACACTGTTACACTGGATCCCAAATTGCAAAGGATTTTTGGAGAAGACAAATCACACCCAAATCATAGCAGGAGGCAAAAGGAAGGAAGTAGAAATTGAAATATATTTTAGGAGATGCTGGTAGACTTGGTGGAGAAAGAGAGGAAAAAAGGAGAAAAGAATTGATGACTAGATTTTCAGTTTGAACAACTGGGTAATGATTGCTGTCAAAAACATGAAAAATAGGAAGAGAAACACATTTTGAAGGAAAAGGATAATCACACACACACATATGCATGTGTCAACAAGAGTATCCAAGCTTATCAAAGAATACTTGGGACTGAGATTTTAAAAGCTTAATTTGTGTTACCACTAAGATCAGTAACTTTTCTTATTCCTTGTTTTTTCCCATCTGCAACTTGGGCATAATTATATCTGTCTTTATTGTTCCAGAGAGATGCAGACGTGATAAATGAAATAATATACATGAGTGCTTGTAGGAAAACACTTTGAAGTCTTGGGAGGGTAAGAACTGTCTATATCCAAGCTGTCATTATGATGGCACAGAGTTTATATTTTTTATGTATCTCCTCGAAGTCATAGGGGTCATAAGCATAACTCACTCAAATTCTTTCCATCATGTTCAGTCGGAACATGAGAAGATAATGAGAAGAAATGAGAAGACAAAAGTGCTTGTCTTTCCCCAGAGTTCCTTACCCTATATATTCTCTGAAAGGAATTTGCAATTATTAGTAGTTCAAAACTATGCAAGGGAAGGATAACCAGTATAACTCTGCCTGAGTGATTTTTGGTTGATAATAATAATATCTTACACAAGTAGATGTGAGGATTACAAAGAGCAAATATATAGTCTCATCTAGTCCAACATCACTCTAAGAAAGGAATTTTATCTGTTTGACAGATTGAAAACAGCTCAAGAGGTTAAAGTATTTTGCCTAAGACTTCATTTCACAGCTACAGTAACTAGAGCTAATAAAAGGGTTGCATTCCAAAACAAAACAAAACAAAATTCAATGAATATGCACCAGAGGTATTCAAAGAAATGCAGCCATACTCCCACACAATATCCATGGAATTTATGTGCTGGTTCCTTTGCTCACTGCAGTCTTGGGACATACTGATTTCAGTTCTCTGAAAATGGGGGTGATTACTAATTTTTTGCCTATAGTGTTAAGAGCTGGACCAGCTGAATTTGGGTGTTGTTTCTCTAAAATGAAACACGCAAACAAACAACAAAACTAGAAATAAGAACAAAACAAGCTGGGTGTGGTGGTGCACCTTGCAATCCCAGCACTGAGGAAGGCTGAAGCAGGTAAATTCTGAGACAAGTTAGCAAGAACGTGTGGTGTGGGGAGGGGGTAGCTGGAGATGTAGTTCAGTGCTACATTATTGGGGTAGGAGGGGAGGCACAAAACAAAACTTGTCCTTTGCTCTCCTAACAGTTGCTCCTTTTTCTTGGGAAGAGTCACATTTTTACCTGGAGTAGGGGACACGATGATGATGTGTAAAAGAGAGGGCCTTAGCGTGGTGGAGAGAAAGCTGGATTCTGCCTCAGGAGACCTGAGGCTGAGTCTTGGTTCAACATTCCTTACTGTGAGCGCAGCGGAAGGAAGTTAATAACTTAAGCTGGGTCTAACAACCCTTATCGGTTGGTTTCCTGGCTGTGCTTTCCCAGCCAGCCTCACCTTTATCTGCACAGACTCTTATGGGTTAAACAGTCACTCAAAATGCCTTGTTTGCGTAATTCTCCATCCTATCCATTCCCTGTCTTCCTGCTAACGGAGAAGTGGTAGCTGGTGTCCATACAGTATCACTCTCAGCATGTCGATCTACTTAAAGTTAAGGAAAGGTGACATGTGAGTTAAGGAAAGGTTGCTGTGACACTGGAATGAATGCGTGTTAGAGTGGTTAGCATGCTGCCCGCTGCCCGGATTACATTGAGGATCACTGTTACTAGTTTCATTTCTTCTTTCCCAACTGATCCTCATTTGTCTCGAATGGTTTAGCTGTGGCCTTGGCTGGAGACTACAGGATAATCTGAGACTCCTCTTAACATTTGGCAGCGTGGTGGGTAGCCTGGCACGGATATGTTGCATAATCTTTATGACCCTTTCTTCCCGATTTCTGCCTAGTTTCTGCTCAGTTTTGCAGAACAGTATTTGGGATTATGTCTGTAAACTGATGGCAAGTGCAAATAAAACGATGTCAACTTTGAGATCAACCACAAAAAAATTTGCTCTCCCTCTAAACTGAGTCCGGAAATCAAACCTACTGGCACCTTGTTTTTCAAGACTACACTTCAGAGCTTACAGGTGTGCGCCTGGGGCAACCAAAACAAAGCTTTAGTGTCACGAGGGCTGCCTCCCTGGCTCAGATAAAAGAGGTGCCCTCCAGATAGCTCCGTGGCGCCAGGCCCCCGCTCCTCCCCAAGTCAGACTTTGAATCCTCCCCCTGGAGGGCAGGTACGGAACGCCAAGCCATGGCTGGGTTTCCTAGTCCTTCTCCTCTCTCGTTTTGAGATTTTGGGTCAGCATTCTCCAACTTGCTCGGGTCTGCTGTGGTCCCCGAGGTCCGGCTGGCGAGCAGCTGGCGCCCAGCGATGCAGCGAGTCTGTCGGCTAGAGACAGCACTTGGCTCGGACTGCACCGAGCAGGGCCCAGGGGGCGGGCGCAGCGAGCCGGGCGGGAGGTCGATTCCCGCCAGGGCCGCTCCCGCCGCCCCGCCCCGGCCCACCCGCCCGCAGGGGTTGTCTCGGGCCGCCGGGCACCGCCGCGCTGCCCCCGCGGGAGGAGGACGCGCGGGCCCACGCCCCGGGCTCCTTCTCCCACTCGGCCGCCACTCCCACCGCCGTCCCCGGCAGCTCCATTTTCCAGGCGTGTTCTCCTCAGGGAGAAGAAGCCGGTCCCCAAACCTCCGCCTCGCCGCCCGCGCCCCCGGGACCGCGCCCCAGACTCGCAGGGTCTCTCGCTCGCCGCGGGCCCTCGGCCGCCGTGGCCGCCGCCCTCCCGGCACCGGGGTCCGCGAAGGTGGCCCCGCGCCGCGGGACAGCGCCGCCCCGAGGTGGCGCCCGCTCCTGGGGGAGGCGCTGCGGCGCGGGCCGCCCCCTCGCGCCCGGGGCGCCGGCTGCGGCCCGGCCTCCTTCTCCTCCTCTTCCTCCGCCCTCCGCGGCTGGGAAAGTGGGAGGCGGCGGCGGCGGCGGCGTGCTGTGTGTGCGCGCGCGAGGGGGCGGCGGAGCGGAGTCTCCCGGTGCCACCGCGGCGTCAGAGGCACAGCGAGCGGCGGGCGCGGCGGGGCCGCATCTGCAGCGGCCGCGAACAAAGAGGAGGAGCCGGGACGCGAGGTAGGGCGCGCGGCGGGGACGCGGGGTCGGGGACCCTCGTCGCGGCGGAGGCGGTGGTCGCCTTTGCCCCCAGCCCCCGCGTCGGTCAGTGTCTGTCCGTCACCCTCGGGTCCCCGTGGGCCGGCCTCCCGGACCTGCGGGGACTGCGCCCGCGGCCTCTCGAGGGCTTTGCTTGGACCCCGCGCCGGCGTCCCCTGGGGCGCAGCCCCGCGCAGTGCACCGGGGTGGCTCAGTCTCTGGGGACGCTCCTCTAGTCTCAGCGGGGTGATAGCTCGGTTTCCCGTGCACTTTGTGGGGCTGAGTTTCGCAACTTAAGCCTGCGTGTTTATTTTTTAAGTCCTTAAAAACTTCCAGTAGTGGTGTAGGGGAATTTTTGTCCTCGGCCTGACCTAAAGGCGGGCGACGCTGAGGCTGTTGGATGAGCTCCCCATTCCGGGACCCATCCAGTCGCTGTCCCAGCTCAGGACCGTGCTGCGCCCGCGGCAGCAACACCTGGCTTCGGGGTGTGTCTGCGGCGAGCGGCCGCCGCGCCCCCTGCGGGGCTGGGAGTACCTGAGCTTAGCTGCGTGCGAGCTGGGCGCTGCCCTGGAGTTCCCCCGCCCCGACTTGGTCAAGAACAGCTGTTAATGCTGCCACCTCAGTCTTGTCGTTTTTAGCTGGGCATTTACATTTCCATTTATTTTGGTGGTGGTAATGATAGGTGGGTAGGTGGGGAGCGTTGCAGTAACTAGTTTAAATGGTTTTTCTTGAATGGCCTTGTTTTCATGTTATGCTTACAATTTTCAGTCCAGCATTCCATTGTCGAATTCTTTTGGTGATCATTTCGCAGGATTTTCTGAATGAGATCCGGGCAGGCCGTTCAGAAATCCATTTCAGAGTTTGTCAGCCGCTGCTGTGAACAGTGCTGTTCTGTTTTAGCCCTTTTCGAGCAAACCTTAGTTGTAGCCTTCAGAATTGTCAATCTTTTTGGTTGGGCAAGATTAAACAGTTGTATTTTGAAGACAGAGGAGAAACATATGTGTTTAATATTGGATCATTTACCACAAGGATCACCCAAAGCATGGTTTTCTAAACGCTAAAGTAGTTTAAAAATTGAGAACGTGGTTGGATTTAAGAGTAATTTCAGGTGGAGGAAACTTTCAGTTGCTTCTGTTCAGCTTCTTTTATGAGTTGAGAATATTTTTAAAAGGCAACTAATAGCATTTTGAAAAAAATATTTTTTTAATGTATTGCAGGAATCTTTTATAGTATTTGATAGCTATTTATCTGCCCTGAGCTTCTGGATATCTTCGGGGATTACTTATGAGCTATTTTAAAAGGCTGTTTTGTTTTTTAATTGTTGACTTTGGAGTTTAGAAACCACATTCCACAGCAAAGCTACAGTATGCAGAGGAAGCACTTACGTGTACTTTTTGGTTCCTCACTTCTCTGTGAACTTTCCCCTCAGATAACTAACACTGATTTTCTCTTCTTCCTTCTCTCTCCCCTTGTCTCCAGGACAGTCTGAGATGGATGTTACATGAATCATTTTAAGGACTGCACATAACTATGACCATTTCTGAAGCTCTTTTCTCAGTAAAGTAGATCAAGATGGATGAATCTGCCTTGTTGGATCTTTTGGAGTGTCCTGTGTGTCTAGAACGCCTCGATGCCTCTGCAAAAGTCTTGCCTTGCCAGCATACGTTCTGCAAACGATGTTTGCTGGGGATTGTAGGTTCACGGAATGAACTCAGATGCCCGGAGTGCAGGACTCTCGTCGGCTCAGGGGTTGAAGAGCTTCCCAGTAACATCCTGCTGGTCAGACTTCTGGATGGCATCAAGCAGAGGCCTTGGAAACCTGGCCCTGGTGGGGGCAGTGGGACCAACTGCACAAACGCATTAAGGGCCCAGGGCAGCGCTGTAGCTAACTGTAGTGCAAAAGATCTGCAGAGCTCCCAGGGTGGACAGCAACCTCGGGTGCAAGCCTGGAGCCCCCCAGTGAGGGTGAGTAGCCTGCAGAGGCAGCTGGGTGGATGAACATGGTGATGATCACATTTTTTATCTCTATTCTTTAATTTCATATTTTCTAAATCAGCTCACTGCTTAAGAAGCCATGCCTACTGAAACAGATTATACTTCACAGTTTTTGTTTTCTATTTTGGAATGAGATGGCTATAAATGATAAACTTATTTTTAATGTCTTGATTTTTAAATTTTCTCAGTCTATTACTTTAAAGACATTTTAAGGAACAGAAAGCATTCAATGAAATGTAAAATAGCAGTTTGACCTATTTTAAAATGAAAATTTAATATGGTTTTACCCTTTTGATGGAGTTTGCAGTCATAATTATGTATGTATGGGTACATATGTGAATATATGTTAAAAATATGTGTGTGGGTAAATCATACACAGGAAATCAAGCCTTAATCTTCGCTTTGCTTAGAGTCATTCTATTGGTTTTATGAATGCACAGCACAGAATTTACTGGTTGGAGGAATTCTTAACAAATCATGGCCACAGGTAGCAGAGTTTCGTTGCTGTAGCAACAGAATGTCACTTAGGACTACGCTAAAATGTCTGGCTTTATGTTGAGCTGCATAGGGAATGAAATGAAATATTTCCATCAAAATGATTTTTCTTAGGATTTGGGCTAAAATAATTTTAGATGAGCTTAAATATTTGCACAGTGACTACAACTTGTATTTCTAAAGGGAGAATGTTCCAAATAAATATAAATTAATTTGCAGATGCTGGCTTCCTGATAAGATGAAATTTTTTTTTTTTTGTAAAAAAGTCATGGGTATCAGATAATGAAAATATTTCCTTTTTGTTGGAAGAAGCAATTTTGATAATTAGCCAAATGATGAAGCTTTGAGAATGTTTTTCAAATATTCATAAGTCCAAACGCAATTGATACAGAACTTAGTATAGAACCTAATAAAGAACTACCTACTGGAATTGCCAATTGGTATGAATACACAGATGTGGATTTTAGACAGCAGTAATAGAGTGTTAGTTCTCTTAAATCCTTGTTAAGCCCATCTTTTGCAAGTGATAAAATTTTTATTTTTTCTTTTTGAGACAGGCCCTCCTATGTAGTTCAGGCTGGTCTTGGGCTCACTTTGTAGCCCAGGCTGATCTCAAACTTGCAAAGGATTCTCTTGCCTTAGTCTCCCAAGTGTTGGAATTACAGGAGTGTGCCACCACACCTGGCTTTTGATATAAAGTATTTACATCATGAGATGTAAAGTATATAAGACATTCTAGTAGCTAGAAAACTGTATTAGTAGAAAACAGTTTAATCACTAGGCTCTCCAGTTTCTATGGATCCTTATTAAATTTTTTTAAGGATAGAATTTTGGATTAGAGACATTTTCTTTCATTATTTGAAGCTCACTTGTGAAATTGATCTGCTTATGGCTTTCCTTAGATTTCTTTTACAGCATTTGCTGGTTCCTTGATTAGTATATGTGGATTCATTAATATTTTAACCCCTGGAACCAGTAATCAAGTTGATAAATTCTAGGTCACTGGACCCAGGTCTACACCTTAATAAAGGGGTAGATTTGTATCTCTGGGGAGGTTTTTTTTCCCTGTTACTTTGACTAGGGAAAGCATAGCTTCTGGCTATGCAAAAAAGTGTCTTAGTTGTTGATGCAGTGCCTTACCTGCTGTGAGGAATGTGTTGAATGTTTGATCACTGATAAGGAGAGGCTCAAGCATTCAACTTGCGTTTTAATGTCCATCCCCTTCCTTCCTTCCTACTTCCCTTTCTTTTCTGGGGATTAAACCCAGAACCTTCTCACTGTGCTGTATCTCTAGCCCTTTTTCATTTTTATTTTGAGACAAGATCTGTGGTGCTAACTCGCCCAAGCTGTGCTTGAATTTGGTGATCTTCCAGCCTTACACTCCAGAGTGCTGGGGTTACAGGCATGTGCCACCATGCCTGGCTTATTTTCTTTCTGACTTAGAAAGGGACTGTTTGATGCTGCATTTTTTATCTGAACAGCTAAGCTCCTAAAATTGAACTTCACTGGCCTTTTGAAAGTTATTTACATTTTGATCTTGTTAGTATTATTTTTCTGGTGTACCTGATTTTCCTAATTTGCTTCCTATTTCTTCTTTGGCATGAGAAAAATTACTTGCCAAGAGGCTCAACGAACTTGAGCCTTAATAGCTTGGCTGAAATAGTTGAGGTGGATCAAACAGGAGATATGGCTGTTCCTTAGCAGAGAGTGGAGGTGGGGATGAAAACATCAAAGCAGTAAAGCAACTCAGTAGTCTAAGGCGAAGCAAATGATGCAATTACCTGGAAAAGAACAGCTTTTTCCCCCTAGTTTCTCATTAGCATTGACCAGTACACTTTGCTTTCAAGTGCTCACAATAACTGAGGCTATACATATAGTGCAAGTGCCTGAAAGATAAAAACGTCTCTAGAACATTCTCCTTTTAAAAGTAAGAATGTTACATGTGGCCACATGGCGGTCATGATGTGCTCCTCTGGACACTTCCCTGAGGTGACTGTAATGAATCCCAAACATACATCCTTCTCCCTTAGATGTTCTGACACAAGCGAGTGGCATGGCGAGCCTGTTTCCACATGTTGTGCAGAGCTGAAAGTGATAACATGTGGAATGTTGCTTGAGTTTACTGGTTATGTTCTGTCTTACGTTAGGTTGTTGACCATGTGGCTTCCTCATGCAGATAGCTGAGGGAGATTGGATGTTATCAGCAGATCTGAACATTTCCAATGTGTGACACACATCTTGTTCCCAGAGTTTTAGCGTTTCCTGCCTAATATGAAGGAGAATGGAAAGAGTAAGTGTTGGGTTGGAGTCTGCATGGTATCTGCCAGTTCTCAAATGAAGAATTCCTATTGATTTCTAACAGTAGAAAGAGCCACAGGCCAAGAGAAACGGTAGCTAATCTTCAATGGATTAGAAAACGTATCTGCAGAGGATTATATATATCTAAAAGATATATTTTATGTAATACATGAATATATGTTAATAAGTTGGAAAACATGTTTAGTTCCTATAGAATCGTGATCTCATAGACTAGTTCAGTTTTGCTATGTGTAGTTTCATTGTCTTAAAATGTACTAATGTCTGTACATGTATCTGTCCATCTAGATATCATTATTGCCTCCACCTCAAAATGAATATATTCAGTAAAGATGTATCATCAGACTACTAATTGTCAGCTCAATCTTTCCTTTAACAAGTATTTATTAGGCACTTACTTTATGCATGACTCCTCTCTAGCTGTTGGATAGATGATGTTGGGCAGATTGGATAAAAATTCTGCTCAGGAACTATTTGAGCATATGGTCAGTATCATGGGAGAAACATTACTAACAGAATAGCAGGGCAGGTGTGTCATTAAATACGACCAGTTCTGTGACAGAGTAGGGGAGAGCATACGAGAAGGAACTGTTTAATGTGCACATGTTGGAAGTCCTTAAAAGTCTTCCTTGAGGCGCTGGAACTGATATCCTAAGAGTGAAATGATAGTTACTGGATGAATAGGGGTGGGGCCAGGAAGAGGCAGAAGGAAATGCATTCCAGTGACCCTACCCTACAACCAGAGAGGAGGGTGAGTGTCAGTAACCACAGGCTGGTGACACAAGATGAGGCTAAAGGAAGGATAATACACAGGTTGTTAAGAATACCAACAAAAGTCATGTGAGGTTTGGGGTCTGACAGTGAGGACTCCACTCTTGGGATTGGAGAGATGGGGCTCACTGGGATGGAGACCGTTAGCTTGGTCTTTAGAACAGGGAAAGGTAGGAAAGGGGAACACAGGTGACATTCTCTTTTCCTTGCAGCTGCCAGTGTGTCTCCATTTCCTCATAGCTTCCTACTTACTCTCCCTCCTCCTATTGCTTTTATGGGCGGATTTGTGTCTTTCAAAATGCTCTTTGGGAAGCATTAACCCCTAGTAACTCAGAATATGGCTCTCTTTGGAGTTAGGGCCTTTATAGAGTGGGTTAGATAAAACAAGGGCCTAATCCAATGACTGGTTGTCCTTACAAGAAGAGATACAAAGGAAAGACCGTGTGGAGAAGATGGTTATGTACAAAGCAATGAAAGATGTGTTCGAGAAACAAAACCTGCCAACTCCTTCGCTTGGACTCTTCTGGCTTTTAGAACTAAGAAATGGATTCCAGTCTGTGGTTATGGCATGTGACTTCTAAAGGCCAGCCCTGCAGGGACCTTTCAGTTCACTGCCAGTCCCCCCAGACCTGGAGTGGTCCAGTGCACTGTGGCCCTACTTCTCAGGTGGAATGGAATGCTTTCGAATTGTTCGGGCTCAACCCCACCCCCTCAACTGCTTGAACTGTCGGCTGTAATTTCATAAAATAGACAAGGATGTTGCAAGAACAGTGAGGTTTATGTGACAATATCCCAAATACACAGGAGGGGCGAACTCTTATTACTTTCTTATCCTTAACACATCGACTCTTCTGTAACTGGAGTCTGCAGAGGTGCTTGGCAGGACTTATTGGTGTCTGGCATTACTCAAAGGAAAGGTAACAGAGAAGGAATTGAAGGAGTGTCAGGGAGTAAACAGGACAACTGAGTTGCTCCAGGTAGACCTCGGAAAGCTGCTGCCAGCTGTGAATTGTACCTCTGGACGTCTTTGACATCCACTCAGCGGACAGGTATCCTTGGAGATCTCTTTTTCAGACTCAGCTCTGTGCTGTGCCTTCACTATGCTAGGACAAAGGTGGCATTAGTGCCTGTTTCTGTTAAAAAGCTGACCGACTGGGGAGATAGCATGCACAAGCAGTGGCGGCATATCGTGAACTCAAGAGGGGTGATCAGATAGAGAATAAGGCCGTGGGAGTGGGCGGATAGCTTGGGTGTGTGGAAGGCTCAGGGCAGTAACTGTCCGAGGCACTGATGTCCTCATAGAAGGGGTCGAGGGTCTCTCATTCTGGGCCTAAGTATGACATTATTGTGGTTTGGATGAGAGAGTGTTTCAGTGTTTCAAAGTGACT